AGTGTACCTCTGGTGCAAATTACTGACCTCTGTCATCATTTTAAGTGGGGGAACTTGCACAATCGGTGGCTGACTAAATACTTTTTTGCCCCACTGTATATATATCCTGTTTGTTTTCAGAAACTGGCAGCAGAGTGTCAGAGCGCCAGCTACCCGGGTGTTTTGGTGCCTTTCAAGTGCGACTTGGCCAAAGAGGAGGAGATTCTGGCCATGTTTGCAGTGATCAAGGAGCAGCACAAAGGCGTGGACGTGTGCATCAGCAACGCTGGCTTGGCTCACCCAGAGCTGCTGCTAAACGGCAAAACCAGTGCCTGGAAAAACATGTTGGATGTAAGGACTCAGAGTTATTTTAGAAAAACAAAATTCCAAATATTTTCTTTACCATTTATTTCGCTGCTTTGGTTACTTACAGGTGAACGTTCTTGCACTGAGCATCTGTGCACGTGAAGCTTATCAGTCAAGGAAAGAGAGAGACGTGGATGATGGGCACATCTTAAACATAAACAGGTGCAGTTTTATTTTACTTAAGGACAGTGATGGGTATGCTTGTGAAGTTTATTGATTTAATCATCACACAAATACCTCAGACATGATCATATTGAGATTATGAGCTTTTTTTGCCAACTCTCTAGGCTCTATGTATATAAAGCACCGTTGTTGTGATTTGGGGCTAAATAAATAAAAATAATTGATTTAAACTCACTATGGCCAATGATTGCTTTTATTACTGGTTAATCGAATAAAAATAAATGCCAGACAGCTGTGAAAAATGTCAATAACAATATCCTAAAGCCATAAGTAAAATCTTCATAGTGCTTTCATGGGCAACTAGCGGCTCAGAAGCAAAAGATTTTTCAGTGTACTATGAAAATCATCAAAGGAAAAATGCAGGATAACCAAATGAAATTAATACACAAATAACTACTTGAAATTATATAGAAACTGTCAAATTACAGCACAACAGCATGGTTGTGCAGTGGTTAACGCTGTTGCCTCACAACTTCTGGGTTCAAATCCAGCATCTTTCTCTGTGTAGTTTGCATCTTCTCCCTGTGTGTGCAACAGTTCTCACCTTCTCACATAATCCAAAGACATGCAGTTAGTTGGGTTAGTTTAGTTAAATCGTGTCTGTGTCTCTGTGTTAGCCCTGTGACAGACTTGGGACGTGTCTGTGCTGTACCCGATCCTCCAGAACCCCGAATTAGATAAGCAGAAGAAAACAGATGGATGGTAAATGCTGATTTGATTAGCAGCTTGTAAATCTCTGTCTGTTACAGCCAGTGTGGTCATCAAGTGTTTCCTAATGCTGATGTACATTTCTACACCTGCACCAAGTATGCTGTAACTGCACTGACTGAGGGCCTGAGGCAGGAGCTACGTGCTGAAAACACTCATATCCGGGCCACAGTAAGCCTTTGAAAGACACTGTAACCGCTGCAAAGTACCTTGAACACTAATGTCAGCTGTTATGAGATGCACACAGAGTACTTCTTGAAGGATCCTCATTAATAATGTCATTTTGCAGAGCATTTCTCCTGGCTTTGTGGAGACAGAATTTGCATCACGCCTCTACAGAGATAATTATGATAAAGCAGCTGCTTTATACACTAAATATAAGGTAAAATTAATATTCCTTCAACTCCTACAATTCCTACAGAATTGTTGATGTGATTATTCGGCTAAAATTCCATTAAGCACTTTTAACTTCTTTGATAGCCTCTGGAAGCAAAAGACATTGTCAGTGCCATCACATATGTGCTCAGTGCCCCTCCTCATGTTCAGGTTTGAGATTTTCTCATATTTTCATCTTTTTTGTGACCTTTTGAATGTTTGTCTTTTGCATTTTAAATATCAGCAGTTTAGTCACAAGATAACATTCATCTATCTTTTCTTTCAGATTGGGGAGATTTTGCTTGAAAGTCTGTAGCAGGTGTCATGCAACTTGGCCGTGAGACCCATCCCAATCTTTACATCACAACAACAACAAAAAGGCCTCTCTCACCCAGGAAACACGCAAAGAGAGAGCATCACCCTGTAACCACAGCAACCGTAACGCTGCCACCTGGAACAACAGCACGCAGCTGTCAAACAAAACCCAAACAGGCCTGACCCGCGACAATATGAAACAGGGAAGTACCGCCATATAATCCATTTATTTCAACAAAGTAACTGTATTCTAAATACCACCTTTTTAAACTGTAACTGTAACGGAATACAGTTACTCATATTTTGTATTTTAAATACGTAACGGCGGTACATGTATTCCGTTACTCCCCAACACTGAAGGTTAGGCAGTTACTCTAGGAGACATGGACAACGCCGCAGGTCCTTAAAACATTAGCAGGACAAGTATCTGCTCCTTTGTGCAATGAGGAACATAAAGAGCATAAATTGATGCCGCCGAATGGCCCCAGATTTACCTGAGATAAAACCAACAGAACACTTATATTTCTGTCCATGTGATGCCACCAGGTTGCAACTCAGGCTGTCCAGGAGCTCAGTAACGCAATGGTCCAGGCCTGGGAGTTCCCCCAGGATACCTCCCAGTTACCCAATTGCTCCATGATTTCCACCTCCCTTGACAGTTTATGTTATATTTGCTAAGTGCTGTAAGCAGTGTCTGAAAGAAATGACAGTTTTTCTGATATGTATTCAACCAAAGACAGGATGGAATTTCCTTGGCTATCTAGTTAGTTGTAGTAATTCTTCTGGGTGTTTTGTCTATGCAGATATAAAAATAAAAAAAAGTATTATACTTACCTTAATTACAATATATTTAAGTAATTTTGTTGAGATTTTTATATTTTTTTCAGATATTTTGCTTTTACCTTAAATATATTCTTTGTTTTTATTCTTATATAAACATTTGTGCACTGGATATTCTCCACAGGACATTTTTATTTAAATGTCCTATTACAAACAGCACATTAAATATCCTTTACCACAACAAGAGCACTGCAATGAAAGAAATTTCCCTGAAAATCCTTTTATTTTATTCCTTAGTGAAAATTATCAGTAAAATGTTATACAGTGTTTTCATGAGTACATAAAGTCAGTAAAATTTACATTAAGGTACATTAAGGTGACATGCTGCAACTTCTCACTGAGATGGAAAAAACACAGAGATGGTAAATGTTTCACAGACTGTTTTGAAAGGAGGCTACAAATTAAAGATGCAACAGTTTCTCATCAGGGATGAAAACATACACTCTGTCTATGTCTGACTGACATCCTCATCGAAGGTTCTAACCAGATGAAATGAACACCTGCTCAACAGTAAAAATACTCTTAGAGCTTAAATACTATCCAGCAACTGAGATCTGTTACAATAAGAAGGAAGCTGTCATTAATCAAAGTGTTTTTATGGGCATTCCTGGAGTTGGCCAGTAGGACACTTGTAAAAAGGTATCACAGGGGCCTTTAATAAGAAGACAATTAGACAGAAAACAGCTGGATGAGTTTCCTCCATTTTATCCTTCTGTGAACTGATTACGTCCTGAAGTGTTGAGAAGTAAGGAGAGCCAGTCACACTACTTTGATGTAAAGATTGGGATGGGTCTCACGGCCAAGTTGCATGACACCTGCTACAGAC